ACATGCACGCTTCTCAACCTATGAAGGCCTTCACAAAAGTAACGCGCACGCTTCTCAACCAATGAACCTACAAGGTACAAGGGCACTTGTCGTTGCGCTCAGGCCACACCAACGACATGAAGCAGGCAAGAATCAAGCCACGCCGAAGGATCCTATATAGTTCCATGCATTCATGCATTGTTGGAAGTGTTGCGACGGCTGGACATCGTGGATGGACTTAACATCACAAAATGTAAAAAACATGAACTTCATGGAATGGTTTGATGTGGCTTGATTTCAATCGATTGGCGCGTACGGTTTCACCGGAAAGCACCTCTGTTGAAGAGCTTCACCCTGAACGTTCATGGGATACAATCATATTGGGTGACCCGCCCAGGGAAGGAAAGTCAATCAAAACTGTATTGCCTATATCAATCAAAACCCTACCTTGGTTCTTACAGAGGTCTTTGCAAGATGGAAGGTTGAACGTAGATGTGCCGGGTCAGAGGTGCTTTCCTGCAGGCTCTTGCCTTGCTCTCACATCGGCTGCAGCGAGGTTGCAGCACCACAACCCCAAGACTGCAAGAAAGATTGCAAGATTACACGGTTCTGTTATCTTTGGAGTCTGGTTTCCTAGAACAACCTACAATCTTGCAGAGAGCTGTGGACGGCCTCGCGAACTCCAGCGCCGCAGAGCGCAGTGAGATGCTAAAAACGGTCGACGGCGGCGAACGAAAAAAAAAAACACAGACGGGTTTCTTCGGCGTTCTTTTTGTACCCCTTTCAACCCTAACCTCAACCTGCCTGCGTGAATCTAGGAAGGTTTCCCCTCATAGCGCGCTTTTGTGTTTTGTTTCCTAAAAAAATGTGAACGCGCACACACATACTTTACCATGGAGGTTTTCCCTGGGCAACCTTATTTTTTTTAGCCTTTGAAAGCGCAAGTGGCTCAGCAACCCTTGTGCATTGGCCATCGCCTGACTATAGCAGTGCAGATTTGAAGCTGTATGTGGCTCAACAACTCCCCCCACCGTTGTCTAGACGACAGCTGTCTCACCACTCCACGCACACAGGGCGACGATGAGAAGAACAGCAGATTATGTCAAACACACGAGAGCAAAACAACAAAAGACAGCAAACGCTGTTGTTTTGAGAAACGGCGTCCAAAGCAAGAGGTTGGATTCTCTAAGCAGGTGGGCCAGTCCTCCGGCGGCCCTACACGTAGACGCGAAACCTTTCACGCCTGCCTACAATTTAGAACATTACCTAAGACTAAGCCGACTTGCAAAAGTCCAGGGTCGAAAGACACGGTGGGAAATTACAGTAGCTCCTGCGCAGCGTGGGTAAGGACAAGCCCACAGAAAAGAAAGAAGATCCTGGGAACTAGGAAGAAGTTCAGCAATGATTGGCAGCGAACCCAAAGTTCATCATTTCGCGTTGCACGGCGCAATTTCGAAAACGTTTCGCCGCCAAAAAATGCCCAAAAGGCTCTTTGCGAAATCAAACGATCGAGGCCTCAGCGAACGCGTATCATCCCAGAGACTGGATCATGGCTTTGGAGAAAAAGATGACCATGCTGTCCAAGAAGACAAAAACATCGTCTGGGCAGCTTCAGACGCAAGACCTCCCACCGCTCGGGGAAGTCCGTCGTCATCAAGAAACAAAACCAATGTCCTTCGACCGGGAAACACTCGATTTGTGGGTTAGCCCTCAAGTTCTCAGGCCAGAAACCTTGCCTGAGAAACCAACAAACGACCAATGAACAGGAATATAGATCTTTGCCTCGGTCCGAAGTGGGCAATTTGCCTTCCCTGCCTAAGCCAAAACCAAAAGGAAAAATCCTTCTGGTAAAGGAGAACGCGCGTTCTTCTTGCCAGATTTGTTTCGCGACTCCTTGAGTCCGAACTTGGCGGTCTGGCAGAATGAGACCACGAGCAAAACGATCCGGAAGACTTTTTGCGGTTGAACCCTCAACATTGAACGCCAAAGAACAAAAGCTGTTTTAAGACGCTAAAGGAAAAGTTAAATCAGAGTTGGCTAGATACACCAACGGTGTGCAAAGTCCTTGGAAGTGTAGAAGCAAAACTTCACCTGAGAACATCCTGAAGCGCCGATGGATTGCGAGGTGGAAGACTAGCACGCACTCGATGAACTGCGAAGCCAAAGCACCGACCCGCTTCCCCAACTCAACAATGGACAGTGGACAGCTTCGACGCGAAAATCGCATGTCCACAGCGCAAAGCCAAAGCACCAAAAGATTTGGGGTTCCAAGCTTCTCCATTCGACCCTTGCCGTTTCATCTTTGGGGGCGACAAAAAACTACCACAAGGGTTTGTTGGAAACGGCGTAGTGGTCGACGATGGCTTGCTCGCCCCGCCCCGAAGCCCAACGTAGAACCAATCTCCTGGAAACCACAGATCCATTCGAAAGTCGAAAGACAACGGTAGACCAAACTAAGCACGTCAAAGATGTAGATACCTCGTCTCAACCAATCTTGATCGACGAAATGTCTAGAAGAGCCAACCGCCCAAGATGAGCCACCTCTAGGCTTAGGGGATTGGTCAGAAGCTTGCAGTATGAGAAGAGACTGCGTGAGCTTCCTGCAAAGCGGAGCAGAATCAATCTCTCATCCACGGATGATGATAATGACCGCAAGAAAGAACATCAAAAGTGTGTGAACCCAATCTTGCAGTTTACCAGCAAGATACAGAAAGTAGCTGTAAGAACTTTATCGAAAGAAGCGACAGCATTGGCTGGGGCAATCGATACACTATCTTGACGCCGTTTGGCCGTTGGACAAACCCTGCCAATGGGGGCTTGGGACTAAAACGTTGCCCAACCCATCAACGATCTCATCAGCAGAACAGCACCACCATTTTCGAACGTTGTTGCAAGTCAAGCTCATCCGGGCGCGCCTGGCCACAGGCGCAGCTATCAGACGCTCAGATTGCGGATAGCTTCGCCAAAATCATGGGTATGTGAGAACCGGGCCATCCCTTCAATCTCGCAACAGACTTTCCATGAGCAGGTCTTGGGAGAGACAATTCAATAGTTTGAGGTGAATACTTGGGCTTTGTTGGTTCAGCGTGCATCATGAGGTTCCAAAACCAAGGTCAGGAGAACAGCTTCAAAGGGAAGATTGCGACCACAATCGCAAAAAAAGAAGCTCCTTTTTGTTAGTCACGAAGTCTCTGCAGGCACACGTTTGACAAAATAAACTTGAACTGTGGGAATGACAACATCACGCGTGTCACGCGTTCCATTCCCGCTTCCGTGCACCATCTTGGCACAAGACCGGGTGGGAAGGGCGGCGATATTAGCCCTTGCAGGGCTTTACACCGGCCAGTTAAGACACAGGGCGTCCATGGAAAGAGACAGAGAGGCTGCGGGTAGAAGGGCGCAGCGCTCGGTTGTTGCGGTGTTGAGTTCAGTTGCAAGATCACCGTTTTCTTGATGACTTCTGTTGGGCGTGAGCCGGCTCCGAGGTCTCCTTACCACTTGCAACATGCACGCGCGCATTCATACATACATACATACATACATACATACATACATACATACATACAT